CACAGCCAAAAATGCCATTTCGGTGATTGCCACCTGTTATGGCACAGCAGCCAGCCTGCAACCAAGGGACACCAAGGGCGGGGGGGGAGATAACTTCAGATGCCCTGAATTTTCTGCAGAAGCTCTGGGTTATGAAATGTGACCACATGAAAGATGTGCCGCAGGATTAAAGTGTTGATTATAATGTTTACTCTTGGAATTCAGAAAGCACACCATGTTATAATCTTCACCTTGTTTAGAAATGACACTCCATTGTCTCGCATGCAAAGTAAAACGCTGAATGGAAATCCAGATTTAAAAACTAATAATAATTTCACCATAAAATAGAAGAGTTAAAGAAAGTGACAACTCACTAGCAATGTTTTACTTGCTGTCTTCACCTAGGTGTGTGCCCAGACTGTCCTTTCGGTTAAGAAGTTTCCAGGGAAAAGGGGGGGGGTGGTTAGTGACCTTAAAAGCAACTGCTCTAAGGCATTTCAAACGCTCTCACATGAATGGCAAGAAAGTTCATCCCAGCTGGTGCACCAGGATGACTGATTATACTATGTTAACTTGGGAGTTTTTCAGAGGATAGAAAGACGATTCTGAAAGGGTTTTTGTTCGGTTTGGCAGCGTTAAATCATCGGCATTCCCTGTCCGGCTTCATGTAAACAACATAATCTTGTATTCAGTGAAAACAGGTCCATGATTAAGGGGAGATGCCCAAATCTTCACTACGGAAGAGTCCCCTTTCTCATTTCAGCCAACCTAGTCCTATAATGTTTCTGTCTCTGGCCATTACAACTTCCCCTATTTCCGAAAAGCCCTGTTAATACCTGTTTTGTGTAACTGTTTTAACTTCAAAAGAAGCCTTGGTGGCTCAGTGGTGAAGAGCTAACTGAAAGGTCGGCGGTTCAAACCCACCAGACACTCTCCAGGAGAGAAGACCTAGCAATCTGCTCCCGTAAAGGTTACTACCTAGGAAACCCAGTGGGGCAGTCCTACTCTGTCCTATAGGGTTGCTGTGAGTCGGAATCAAATCGAGTAGACGGCAACAGGTGTGGTTCTAGCTTCCATCACCCTCTAATGTGAACAGTGTTTAGAAGGAAACAAAGCTATTATCCCACAACTGTGTCTAGTTCAGAGACTGGATAAAGAGTCTTCATTTTCAAACAAGACACTTGAGGCAAAAAAAAAAAACTGGATGATTTCTCACTCCATCCCTAAGACTGAGATTGCCAACTTCACAAACACTATTTTTGCTTTTTGCTAGGAACGCCAAGTAGAGGGTCAGCAAAAAAAGAGGAAGACCCTCAACGAGATGGACTGGCCCAGTGGCTGCAGCAATGGGCTCAAGCATAACAATGACTGTGAGGATGGCGCAGGACCCGGCAGTGTTTCATTCAGAATCTACTCAACAGCACCTAATAACAACAGGAACGCCATAAAGGATGCACGGCAGGACTAAGGACGCACACGCAAATCCATGGAGAGAGCGGGCTCAGAGGGAGAGTCGCTGCCCATCAATCACGGGTCGTCCAATTCTGACACAGACAACGCACGCAGCAGAGCTTGTCCATCTGAAGTGTTTCCAGCACCAGCCTCCTAGATATAATTATCATACAAAACATATCAGAACCAAAGAGAAGGATTTCCTTCTGAGGGTGGAAAAAAAGAAGAAATCAATAATAAAAAAAAAAAAAATTCTGCTGACTAGCTAGAGAATGTAAAATAGATAAACTATTAACCCTCTGGAGTAACATAATTTCTGTGTTGTTGGAGACACTTAAATTCCCAATGATCAGACATATATACCAAATATTTGGATGAACTATGCTTGGCATTTGCATTAAAATAAGGTGTTGGGGAGGATGGAGGTATAAATGAAAGACTGGGTTGATAATTGTTGATGCTGGGTGGTGGGTAATGTTTTTTATTTTCTATTCATTTATTTTTATTATTTCTTCCATAATAGAGTACTTTTTAGAAGATGTAAGAGAATGTAATATCATGTTTGATAACACTTCTACTTTGCACTTGGAAAACATCACTTGAAACCCTAACCCGGATGCAGAATCCACACCTGCCATACTCTACTACCGCTGAAAGACTAGAGGCCACTGTTTCTGATCCACGGGGAAAAGATGCAGGCCAGGGCCGTGCTTCCAAAACCCTGCCCAAATGACACTTAATCTACAGCCGGAATGGAGCCTTGGTGGCGCAGTGGTTAAGAGCTCTGCTGCTTATCAAAAGGTCGGCAGCTCCAGTTCACCAGGCGCTCCTTGGAAACCCTATGGGGCGGTTGTACTTGGTCCTATAGGGTCGCTATGAGTCAGGAATCAACTAGATGGGAACGGGTTTGGTTTTTTTGTTTTTTCTTTTTTTAAGCCTGAATAGGAGCTGAAAACTCAAATGCAACTGAGAAGCTGGTGAGGTTCTGCGAGGAACAAACAAAATAACTAAGGAACGGTGATTTTGCTTAAGACCTCACAAGGAGAACCCTAATCTCAAACCAAAACCATTTTTATTCCAGGTGTCAAAGTGATAAATGCTTCTGAGGCTATGGCAGGCTGGGGAGGGGTGTCCACAAAGTGAGCCCCTGCCCTGCCATGTGGAGCCTGCAGGCCAGAGGGGCAGCGCAGAGCCCCGGAACCCGGCCGCGCGCCCCATCCCCACTCCTGCTGTGGCCCAGCGGCATGGAGGTGGCCGAGCCAAGGCATGGAAGTGGCGGGAGCCCGACGAGCGGCTCGGGGGCGCCCCCTGAGGTCCAGCGGCGTCGCGGCACCCTCGGAAGAGGCAAAAACAGCGCCTGGAAAGGCTCTGACGTTTTAACTTTGTGTGGCTCCGAAGGCTGCTGCACTGTCTTGGGCTGCACTTTTGCAAACCAAACCCCCGCTTCCCTGCGCCCCTTCCCTTTGCGATCCCCCCGGCTCCCGGAGGAGAAAAGGGCTATTCACCTCACAGCGCGGGGACGAGAGAAAATGAGGAAGACGAACACAGTTAAAGCCCCAGGAAGGCGGCATCGCTGGCGGTCCCATTTTTGGATTTCAAGCTTCCTCAGACAGCAGCCAAGACAAAATCACGGCTGGCCCACTGACCGCATCCCCGAGCAGCAGCAGAAGGCCAGAAGAGAAACGGGAATTTCCTCTGATTTTGCAAGGCTGCCCTCCGCTGCCTCCCACTGCCCGCGTTGAAGTGTTGCCCTTGCAAAGCTCCACCTCTGTGGACACCTGCCCCCACTCACCTGTCAAGACCACAGGAGAGAAGCCCAGTCTAGAAGGGGCAGACGTTTAATACAAACACTGAGTAATAGTCTTTAAGGGAGAGCAGCCAGCTGGCTCTCGCGCAATGTCCCCACCACCCCTTGCCCTGTGGACGCAGGACCCCCATAGGCAAACTCCAGGCCTCAGGGTGAGAGTGCACACACATCCTTGTGCTCGGTCTCCCGGCTGGGTTTCTGAACTACAGCAGGGGATCGGTGTGGCTCCAGGAGGGCAGGAGGATGTGTAGAGGATGCAAAGGAAAGGGGGGTGTTGAAGAAAAGAAGGCGCTCTGAGGGGCCCCCATCTCTCTCTGCCCCTCGGAGCCACCCCCGAGCCCACAAGGGTGGCACGCGCTACCTGTCTCCCCGGGGCGGGTCCCTGAGGGCAGCAAAGGCGCCCTACTCCGACGCGCACGACGGGGCTGGGGGCCCTGCTGCACCAAAATCTGGCACTCGGGCCGCCTGGGGACAGGCGGCTGTAACTAGGAAGAACGGAAACATTGGGGGCATGTCCCTCTTTTTCTTGGCTCAAATACCCACCACTCCGGGAACAGGTAGATGAGGGCAGAAAAATGGGGAGAGGGAAGGAGGGTGATCTGTCTTTAAGGGCGTGAGAGATGAAAAGCGAATCGCCTCTTTCTGCCTAGAGCAGAGGACGTGGCCTCCACCCCCAGGAAAGGGATGGATTGTTTCGACGGAGCTCGGGGCTATAGCTGGGGGTCTGCAAGAGCAGAGAGGGAGGCGGCAGGCCCCTTCCCTTCCCGAGAGGAAAGAAGACGGGGGTCTGCCCCAGCAGGGCTGGAAGCAGAGGGTCGCCCAGCCTCACACCGTTACGTGTGGTGATTTATTACCATCATCAATGGCCAATGTTGCTCCTCTCTTAGCCTGGCCAGAAATGAGAGGATCTGGGTCCCCCAAGCGCGAACAGCCTGCAAAAGGGCAAAGATGAAGGGAGGCAGGGAGTGCGAGACAGGAAAAATCCGCCCGGGAGCCAGCAATGGCCCCGCTGCCGACCCGCGCCCCGACCCCGGCGGCTGCGCTGGGCTGCGTCTAAAAGAGAAGGGACCGCTTGTAAACCTTCGGCTCCCGGCCCGCTCACTACACCCAGGCCCCAGCGCCCGGGGAAGGTGCCTTACGCTGGCCCCGAAGCGCAGCCCGCGCCCACGCCGGGGAGCGCGCCCAGCCCCCGAGACCAAAACGTAGGCTGCTCCCCAGATCCCCAACCCCTCCGTGGCCACCTCATTCCACCTCATTTGCATCCCGCAAGCACCAGCCTTTCCAAAAGGTCGGAGAGCGGCAAAGCGAGTCCCCTCCCTTCTGAGCTCCTTCAACCCCCGCCGAAACGAGGGGCGCACCTCGAACTCCCCCCTAAAACCTACAGAGCCATCCTCCCCGCGGCCCCAGCCTCCCCAGTCGCCCTACAGCGCTGGCTCTCCCGATCGGCGGCTATCAGTAGAGCGACTCCCTTTTCTCCCAGCTCCAGCACCCCCAGTTCCCTCAAACCCAAGCGGGAGCAGACCCTGGCAGCCCCCGAACCCTCCTCGGCCAGCCTCTACCTCCACCCTGCCCAACCACCCGCCTCCCCCAAACGCCGCCAGGAGCCAACGGAAAGGATTCCTCTTCTCCTCTCCGGGGGCCCGGCCCCCCTCCAACCTCTCCGGGGTCGCCGGGACTGGCGCCCGAGCTCTACGCCCCGGCGACAACTCCGCATCCCCAGCGCGTCGGCCGGGGCCGCGTCTCCTCCGCGGCCAGCACTCACCGGGAAAGCACACGACATAATGGAGCACAGAACTGGTGACTTTCAGGAACAAAATCCACCAACACGGTTCCAGTAACCTCCGCATGTCCGAAAACGCACATCGAAAAGAGGAAGGCAGGGGGGTAAAGTTGTTGGATAAGTTCTTGCCTCTGTGCGAGCCTCGGCTAAGCCCGGGCGCTTCCTCTGCTAGCCCGCTTCACTGGCCCCCCGCGCTCGGCAGCCCGAGTCCCCCTGAAAGCCAGAAAGCCGCCAAGCGCCCCCCGGAAAATCTCAAAAAGTAAGCGGGAACGCGGAGCCACGCTGGGGACGATCCTCTCGGCGGAGAAGGGCTCCCTGCTGTTTAAAACGGAGTGAGCCGAGCGGGCAGGGCGAGGAGCCGGCGGGCGGCGACGAAGCCCCGAGTCGAGCAGGCAGGGACCGCAGGCGGCACTGGCGGCGGCGAGCAGCCGAGGATCCCCAACTTGAGTCGGCAGCGTAGCGCAGCCCGAGAGCCTGCGGGCGGCGGGTCTGAGCGCGGCGCGGCGTCTCTGGGCTTCAGGCAGGCAGCTCTTTCCAGGGCCCGGGGAAGGAAGGAGGCATGTTTGCGATCGTGGAAGGGGAGGGAAGTGGCGGGGGGAGCCAAGAGCCCCCCCAAAATAGAAACGGCCGGAGGAAAACACAAAGGATCTCAGACGGGCGTTGGGGCGAGGGCGCCTTCAGTCCATGCTCCTGAAAGTTGTGGCTCGGGCGCAGGCTAGGGAGGAACC